TTTTTATCATTTTATTCTTCTAATTTTAAATAAGTTGCAAAAAATTATAAAGTGATACTTAAATATTTCTTCAGACAGAAAGAGAAAAGGAAAAAGTTATCACTCTATTTATAAGATAATTGTATTTTATAAAAATAAGTAATTTTAAAATTTTTACCATAAAAAATATTTTTCAAAATTATTATATTTTTTAATAAAATTAATATAGAATATTCTATTGTTTCCATTTAACAGAGTTCTGGAACGAGCCGTTCTAAATCCATAACGACCCGTTTTGAAATCAGAACGACCCGTTCTGATATATTGGTGGTGTGTTAATTTTGCATCTGGAACGACCCATTTCAGATGCAAAATTAACACACCAAGAGTGCACCCCGAATGACCCGTTCTGGTTTCAGAACGAGTCATTCTGGTTCCAGGTGTTTCGAGCCATTTGTCATCCACGTGATGTCCACCTATGCACCTACTTGGTATCCACGTGGCCAACAGTTAACTCCGTTTAAATAAATTAGACGAAAGTCCAACATTACAACTAATTAATTTATTAAGAACTAAATTGAGACAAAAAATATAAGTGAGACTAAATTAAAATAAACAATTATTATAAGGGACTAAAATAGATTTTTAAGCCTAAATCATGTCTTCGCGTGATGAGTTATAGAAGGGTTAAAAATGGTGGTTTATGATAGACTATGACTTGTTTTAATATTTGAGATGGTTCTATTTGTAGGCTAGGATGATTCGGGAAAGTTCAGAGACAACAAAAATCAATAATTTTTTATTTATTAATTTTGTGATATTTTAACATTTTTTATATTTTATTTAGGATAATTTCAAAATATTTTATTACTCAAAATTATACGCCATCAAATCGGTATTATGTCAATATCTCGTTATCAATTCATGTCAATACCATGTGTATTATTTTGTTAATATCAAAATGTCACATCAATCAACACTTAATATTACCACTTTAGCGATCAAGTAATAAATGGATTTGGACAAAAAGATGTGAGTGGAACAAATGGAATACAAGATTTGTGAATTTGTTAAATAATGAAGACAAAAATACAATTAAGTAAAATAAAAAGATATTTACTTCAGTATGGGAATCGTCGATGACGTCTGTTAATGTATGTTAGGTTTTGCGCACCTTTTCTTTTATAAAAAATAAAAAATAAAAATAAAAAAAGTAAATGGCAATTTGGTTGGACGTGCACCATTTCTTTGACTCACAAATACGTAGTATACAAAGCTGGTTTCACAAATGTATTTGACTGGTCCCAAATAATTAAAGCAGATATCAAGTAATCAACAAGCTAGTGAATTTTGCTAATTTAAAAATTATTTAATATTTTATTACATTAATTTAAATTGATAAATATTTATAAAACTATATTATTCATTAATTTTTTTTGTTTATATTATAGATTAATTTGAATTTATAAAATGAATGTATCGTATAATTTTTAAATTTTGAAAGATTGATAAATTTAATTTATTTATTAAAAAATTTTAATTTAACAATTAAATCACTTTATATTTAAAATAAATGAATCTCTCTTTTCTTTATATTTAATTTATATAATTAAATAAGAAAAACATATAAAGAGAAGAGTGAAATAGGAAATGACATAGACATTATAACGAAAATACTAAAATAGAGATTGAAAAAATAATAAAGGTAAAATAAGAATTTTAAAAGAACAAGATGTAAAAATGTCAGGGTTGGTCACAAATAAAAAAACAAATATGAAAACTAATTGCTTAGGAAATTTTGAATTACAAAAGTTTTATGAGAAAGTCACATACATATATATTGAATTTCATAAAATTATATACATATTCCTTATTTTTTTCTACTCCAACATTACTCATTTAATATATATATATATATA